CATAGGAAGGAAGCTTCGAAAGAAGCGCTTTGTGCCAGACCCGATCGAAGGCCTTCGCATGTTCAAACTAACGGCCAATGCCTCCCCCTTGGACTCTACTGCCTCCGCCCATCTATGAGATAGACTAGAAGATCACCAGCTGATCGAACTCGACAAAAACCGTACTGGCGGTCACTAATCAGCTGGTGATCCTCAAGGTACCTCATGAGCTGGCAGTTTATAATGGATTCCATTATTTTGGAGAACAAGGAGGTGATGGCAATAGGCCTGTAGTTGGACGGGTCTGGGTCGCCTTTTTTAGGGATCGGGTGGACCAAAGCTGTTTTCCATGAATTCAGGACTACGCCTTGGGAGTAGTATCGGAAAAGACGCGTTAAAACCGGTGCTAACTCCGGAGCACACGTCTTCAGCACAATGGGAGGGACTCCATCGGGCCCACTCGACTTACTGACGTCCAGGGAGAAGAGTGCTTTGCAAACCGGGCGCTGTGTAAACCGCACATCCGTCATGGAGCACTCACATCGCGGGATGGTCGGCGGTGTGTTCCCCCCATCATCTAGAGTCGAGTTGGATGCAAAAAGAGAGCTCAACAGATCGGCTTTCTCCTTTGCGGCATGGGCCAGTGAGTCGTCCTCCCTGTGCAGAGATGGAAGAGATGGCTGACAGAAGTTCCCTTGGACAGCCTTGGCGAGAGACCAGAATGCACGGGTTCCCGAAGGAAGGCGAACTAGTTTCTCGCCAATTCTGCCGATGTGCTCAGACCTTGCCTTGGCAATGACGCTTTTGAAGGACCTGGAGGCGGAATTATACTTCTTTTTAAGTGCGCTGGTGTTTACATCCCGAGACGTTGATGCGTCAGCCCAGGCCCGGTAGCAGTCCTGCTTATAGCGTGATGCTATTTTACAGGAGCGACCAAACCATGGCTGGGATCTGCCTCCGATGGGCACTTCTTTTTGTATATTATAGCCAGATTCATGTGGAATAGTATAGGCTATCTAACATTAAGCTATATCACTCAGCTAGCCTAAAATATGGATATTTGTTAAGCAAGTCAGAAGAAAAAGCACTACCGAAATGATTTAACCGCATACGCTGGTGTTATCGTCAGGGATGCGTAAATACAATGTTCTAGAAAAATATACTAATAATATATAGATCTTTACTCCGTCTAAAAAAAAGTCCGCGATACCATATGCCTATTTCTTATACATAAGCCATAATTAGGTATTTTATGAAAAAAAATTATTGAAAATTATTAAGTGATTTATGAGCGTTATTATTAGGCATGGCCTATTTATCCTTACGAACGAAAGTTACTTCATCATCAAGACAATTTTATGAAGATAAACTTTGTTTTTTATACCATGTTGTTTGGACGCATAGTTTAAGAGATAATGTAAAATTAAAATAATTCAATAAAATAATAATTCTATATATTGGCTGGGCGCGCGAACGACACATAACCTTAGCCGTTCGGTGAGAACTGCGAAAACTGCTCAACCGGGAGGGGGAGGGAAAGTGGATAACTTAACTTCGCTCTACGTCATACATAATATGCCGACAGATAAAAGTACGCCATTAATTATGCTAATTTTTCCATCCATTGCTTTCAAATAAAATATTTAATTGCAATTATAAAATGCTTGAGCTAGGTCATGTCACGCACATCCAACACGTGATGACGCAGGTGAAGCCGCGGGGCGCAGCTAGTATTAAATATCTGTCCCGCATTAAGTCAGATGCAAATTTATCACTGAATATTTTATACAAAGGAATACATTCTGTATGCAGGTTCAGAGGTCAGCACCGAGGAATTGGTCATTTCCTTGTTTAATTAATTTTCGTGTACAGTTTCATCGAATGATAATATCACATGATTTTAAATAGATTTTACTGATTCAATTCTATATTTATTTACATAACATTGAAATTTATACAACATTTAAATATAATAAAAAACAAACTATAACTAATAATTTAAATTATCATACAGTTCTTCTCCAAGTGGTATGATGCCAAGAACTCTGACTGCGTTTCCCCGCTGAATGGCTATACTTAGTGTTTTAGCGAGAAAAGAACCAGCCCTCTTATCACCAGCAGCGACGACCAGTTGCGGATACAGTTCCTTTAGGAATTACACCGTACGTGGACCCAGTAGACCCAATAATTCCGTTTTAATTAACCTTGAACTTCACTAACAAAAAAAATAGCTTTGGTACAGCTGTAGCACGAATAGTTCAATTCCTCTGGGAAAGGACCACACTCTCACAGAATACCAGCATAAAATAGCAGCTTGATGAATTTGTGTTTGGTATGGTGCGTGAGTGTAGAGCAACGGAGATACATTTTAGCTCAACCAATTCAAAGAAAGGAGGAGTTTTACAATTCGTACTTACATATGTTTTTATCCGACTTTCAACAAAGGAGAAGTTTACATTTCGCAATATCTTCGTCAGTAGTGAACAAATTTTGATGATTCTTCTTTTTCAATGAGATTATACTTTTGGAGCAGTCCCATATATATTTGGAGAATAAATTACATCCATAAGACTAGCAAATTAGGGCATGAAGTTTTTAAAGTAACCATTTAAAGGACATTGTCATCGGTATATACCTAAGGATTAGAAATTCCCTTTTAAAAGAAGTTAAAAGCCTGAAAAGAACTGAAAAGAGGAAAATAATTTATTACTGATTACAATAAAAATACAACGCTTTTGCAGTTTTATTCTAATTAAGGGTAGAAATGTAGATAGCTATGGGCCGCAGCATCCACTTGCCATCTGATGGACTGTGTGCTCGTTTGTCAACCTTACTCAATAAAAAACAGATTTAACAAATTAAACAATAAAGAACAGAGAGAAAGACAACCGTATATTAGTATTAATGTGGTTCTACACGTGGTAGAGCCTTGTTGCTGCTATATTAGTAGTATAGTTGTAGCACGAATGGGTCGGCTCGACCGGGGAAGGACCACGCTGTCACAGACTACCAGCGTAAAATAGCAGCTTAACCCTGCTGTGTTTCGTATGGTGAGTGTAGAGAACGGGAGACCCTTTTTACTGGAAAAGAGGCATTCCACCTTAGTCCTCACGGGTGACAACGCATCTGCATTTTGATTCGCAACAAAGATAAATGTAGATGTTTATGGGCCACAGCAACCACTTACCATCAGGTGGATTGTGTGCTCGATTGTCACCCTATCCTATATAAAAATAAAGTATTAATAAATATTTTTAGTGATAATATAATGCTCAATACGTTTTCATTTAGCCACAATGTTGCCTAGTTCAAAAAAAGGTAAAAATAATTTTCGTATAACAGTAAAAACGTATTAAATATATTTAAAACGATGCACCCTTATTATACTTACAGATTAAGCTTTTGTATTTAAATTGAGCGATATTGAAAAACGAAATTAAACAAGTAAATATTTACAACAAAGTTCAATGTTTATTGTCATTTATTCAGATCCTGGATAAAATCAAACTCTTTAACGTCTTTAGTAATAATAAAATAATAATAATAATTTCGTTTCAGACTATGAGTCGACAATAGTCAGTAATGTTGTTAGTAACAACTGCAACAGTAGTATTGACTTAAAACTATTTTCGTATTGTAAGTAGTTACACGTCATTTTAATCATATGACTACGTCCACCCAGTGATTATGTATGGGACAGTCACATCTTACAGATTTCGCTCTAAGGATGCTGTTACTACCGTTTCGTAAACGTTGAAAGAGTGAGGCTGTTTTTTTTCCGAATGATCTCTGAGAAAGTGTCATGGCAGCCGCAACAACATCCGTTAAGTAGAGCCACGTTGCAGTCATATTATGGTTGGGTGGAATGGGTCGGCTCGATTGAGAAAGGAAAATGCCAATGCTTTGTAAACCCTGCGGACTAATACAGAATGCCTCGTTACTAGAAATAAGTATATCCGTTTCTCATTTACTTCACAAAACAGAGCAACTTTATGCTGCTGTTATGGCAAGGTCCTTACGCGACAGGGCGACACATATTTTGGACCGGACACTCGGCTGGTTCCCATCCCTTTATTGTCGACATATCACGTATTCAAACCAAATGGTTTGCTTCTACGTTCGTTATGCATACGGAAAAGGACTGGAATGTATTACCAGCATCTGTCTTTCCATCCGATTACAATGTCTGTTATTCAAGGCAAGAGTGAATAGGCTTAACTATACTATGTCAGGCCATTTGCCATCTTTTTTTTATAGGATAGGGTGACAAACGAGCACACAGTCCACCTGATGGTAAGTGGTTGCTGTGACCCATAGACATCTACATCAATTATCAATTTTTAAAATTTATCCTCAAGATGGAATGCCTCTTTTCCAGTAAAAAGGGTCTCCGGTTCTCTACACTCACCATACGATACACAGCAGTGTCAAGCTGCTATTTTACGCTGGTATTCTGTGAGAGTGTGGTCTTTCCCCGGTCCAGCCTACCCGTGGCTCTAGCACGTAAATCTATATTAAGTTGCTTTATATCAAATTTTAGAACATAATAAAAAAAAGCAAGCAAAGTTTTCCGAGCAGGAGTCGACCAGCGTGCCCAATATATAGTATAGTATACATACTATAGAATATATAGTATTTATGCCACACATACGATATTACATAATATTAATATACAGGATTCGAATTCCGAGTTAGGCCAAAAATCAGTTATTGAGTATTTCCGTCAAAAAATTCCAGGAGCAGTCCGGAGTCAGTAATTTAGCGATATTTCACCCACGTGCCTCGGAAAGTCGTTGGTCTTGCACATCTCTCTTTCCGTCCATATAGCGTCCCATCGGACAATGGGATTTAAGGAATAGAGTGCTCCTGTGCTTGCGCATACACTTGGGCACTATAATCCTGTCCTGCGCAGATGGCTGGTCTCCGTTGAGATCGGCCACCGCGACCGAAATTCGACTGGATATATATACCATTGTTATTATGTATGCAATAATTAATATTTATGTTCTTCTTTTTACTAGATGCCGCCAACAACGCTAGCAGAAGATAGGCTGACGTCAGGGCACCGGTTATCCCACCCGCTACCTGGTGAGGAAGTTCTCATCACAGGATGCTCAGGATATTTCCCGGATTCGGACTCTGTCATGCATTTGCAGGAAAACCTTTTCAACAAGGTATTTTGACAAAGCAGCACTCTAAAGTAGAGTTTACTTTTTCTTATTCTTAATTTCATATCTAACATAAATTTAACTGTGCGTTATTAACGTGTAGTGGAGGTGTAAAAATGCCCACTATCGTCCCATGGATGTCATGAGAGACGACATAGGCAAAAAACCAGGAGACAGTAGCAGCAACTCACTAATAACAACTAAAAAATTAAAAATATATGGCAAATATTATACTCTTATTCAATTTATCGGTGAAGCCTATCGAGGATTACTTGAGAGTGTGAGGGAATAAAATAAAATATTTGCTTTTCAAAATCACTACCCTATACTGCATTTCAAAAGTAATGTCAATAAAATACACAAACCTTTTAACGTGGTAAAGCCACGCTGTAGCTATATTACTGGTGGGTCGGCTCGACCGGGGAAGGGCCAAGCTCTCACAGAATACCAGCGTAAAATAGCAGCTAAACGCTGCCATGTCTCCTATGATGAGTGTAGAGAACCGGAAACCCTTTTTACTGGAAAAGAGGCATTCCATCTTAGTCCTTACGTGCGACAACGCATCTGTATTTTGATAATCGAGGATAGATGTAGATGTCTATGGGCCACAGTAACCACTGTGTGCTCGTTTGTCACCCTTATCCTATAAAAAACCCTATAGATTAAAAATAAAATTTGCAAATCTTATTTATATACATTTTTTTTCTAACCTCTATTTGCTACAAACCTAAATTTAATTTACCCAATTTCTTTCTCAAAATTACATTATTTTAAAAGTCTTTTCAAATATATATTTTTTTAACAGGTAGACCTAATTTCTGGAGATGGTCGTCGTTGGAAACTGGCTCACCCCGAGATACCTCAGCGTACTGGCAAGATCAACAATGTGAACAAGTTCGACGCCTCGTTCTTCGGCGTGCACTTCAAGCAGGCGCACACCATGGACCCCATGTGCAGGATCCTCCTGGAAAAGGCCTACGAAGCTGTCATTGATGCCGGTAAGCTAATCAAATAGGATTTTAGGATCCATTTTATGGTCTTTTTAGGGTTCCGTACACGAAGGATAACTAACGGGACCCTAATACTAAGCCTCAGCTGTCCGTTCGTTCGTCCGTCCGTCTGTTTGTCAGCGGGCTGTATCTCATGATCCGAAATAGGTAGACAGTTGGAATTTTCACAGAATATGCATTTCTGTTCGAAAAATAATAAAAATTAAAATAAATTAAAAATTAGAGGGGGCTCGCCTGTTAGAAACGTGTATTACGATGGTACGGAACTCTTCATGCGCGAGTCTGACTCGGAATTCTTCCGGTTTTTTCATTACAGTAGAGTCTGCTGCAGACTGCTATCTCCCTCATGATTTCCTCGTTTTGTTTTTAAAGTATAGGGTGACAAACGAGCACACAGTCCACCTGATGGTAAGTGGCCACTGCGACCCATAGACATCTACATCTATCCTCAATAAAGACTCAAGATGCAGATGCGTTGTCACCCGTGAGGACTAAGATGGAATGCCTCTTTGCCAGTTAAAAGGGTCTCCGGTTCTCTACACTCACCATACGAAACACAGCAGCGTTAATCTGCTATTTTACGCTGGTTTTCTGTGAGAGCGTGGTCCTTCCCCGGTCGAGCCGACCCATTCGTGCTACAACTACACCACTAATATAGCTGCAGCATGGCTCTACCACGTATAAGAAGGCGAATCGTAGGCGAATTATTGTCATAGTTGCCTAACTTGGCAGGTGAATTGGCATCTGCATTATTTTGAGTTTTAATCAGGAAGATGTATCGACACACACTTTTATATATGTGTAGGGCGAGTTTATTATTCATTTAAAAGGGGGAAGGTAGGACGTGGTAAGTCACGTTACAGGTGTATTATGGTTGCAGCATTGACGGGGTCAGCTTGACCGGGATGGAACCACACTCTCACATAATACCAGCGTGAACAGCAGAATAATGCTGCTGTGTTTCGTATGGTGAGTGTAGAGAACCGGAATAATGAAGCATTCCATCTTAGTTCTCAGGGGTGACAAAGCATCTACATTTTGATTCTTAATTGAGGATAGATGTAAATGTCTATGAGCTGATCCACAGCATCCATTTACCACACAAACAACACAACAAACACAACAAACTTAAGACTTTGTTTTCATATAACTACTATCTCGTCACCTAAATTAATCCCTAAAAAAAGTCTCCCTACCACTAATCAAGTTACGTTCTGCACGTGGTAGAGCAATGCTGCAGCTATATTAGTAGTAAAGTTGTAGCACGAATGGCTCGGCTCGACTGGGGAAGGACCACGCTCTCACAGAATATAAGCGTAAAATAGCAGCTTAACGCTGCTGTGTTTCGTATGGTGAGTGTAGAGAACCGGAGACCCTTTTTACTGAAAAAGAGGTATTCCATCTTAGTCCTCACGGCTAACAACGCATCTGCATTTTGATTTGCAAACCAGGATAGATGTAGATGTCTATGGGCTACAGCAATCACTTACCATCAGGTGGACTGTGTGCTCGTATGTCACCCTAACCTATAAAAAAAGTAAACAAATCACGTTGTGTTATAAGAAAACCAAAGAACAAATGTCTGTAATATAGAACTGCAAATTATACCTACATTCCCCGTAGTTAATGAGATCAATTTCTCTGATCCAGAAATTCGCAGACTCCCGGCAGATTAAATTGGTCGCGGTCAATGGAAACGCCAATCAATATCTTGTCCGCGAACATTTCAAATTCGTTAAGATGGATTCACAATCACGTATTTCTTAGTTTTATATATTTAAAATGTCTCTCTGTAATTTTGAAATAACTGGCTTCCATTAAACTCACGGGGCTATTAGCATGTTATTAATAAAGAAATAATCATTTTTAATTTTTTTATCTACCTGTTGGTCGGTGTCAATCTTCAAAATGACTAAACAGATTGTGATGAAAGCTTACAAAAAACAAAAAAGCAATGCTCTAGCCTATATTTTAAGGATCTAGGCTTTATTTTATCTAAAAATCTTGAACACTGTTGTTATAACAAATGGTTTTTGATTACCTTAAATCTAAATAATGATCATTTAGGTGAAACCGGGGCGGGTCGCTAGTTTTAATTGAAAAATGTTAAGTCATAATTTCTCTAAGACTGTTTTAGGTTCAGAGCTTGTCACGTTGACCTAATATGTAGGATGGGCTTTATTTTTTAGCTACAAACAGTCAAGTTAAAAGCATATAGTTTACACCTTACATTAACATTAAAACAAAAAGATTTATTAATAATCCATATTTAAATTTAGTTTGAAGAATGAGGGTGATAAATGGGCACACAGTTCTCTTAATGGTAAGTGAAGGATGTGGCCCATAGACATCTACATCTATCCTCGATAAAGAATCAAAATAAAAGACGCTGTCACCAGACTAGGTGTATGAATCTCTACCCTCACCTTACGGAACAGATCAGAGAAAATATAATCAGGCAACAATTTTACTGAAAATTCTGTTTCAAAAATTCATCTTATGCAAAATTAGAACTAAAAATAGATCTATTTCCGAAAATTACTCATTACATAATATGTCGGTGGAAAATATAAAAGTGTTACGTGTAATTTTTTAACCAGCGTCAAAATAACGAGATTCTGCCAAGCTTCACCAAGATCCACATAAGACTCATGTCCAGCTGCGGACTCTGACAGAGAAGAAGAAATAAAATTTCATATTAGTTATTTTTAAATTGCGTTACCGTCCAAACCACCTGGACATATAATACTGTGTGATTTATTAGGAGCTTTCTTCCTCGCACGATTTCTTTGAGGAATTGTTTACCATCGTCGATTTTCCGGACCGACACGACTTTGGTAACTTCAAGAAACGAGCTTACTCTTTTTTAAAACTGGTATTGCAGTTGTTCATGGCACTTACCATCAAGTGATACGCATGCTTGTTTACCACATCTTCTATGAAAAATGAAATATGAGATAGACAGCACTACAAAATACAACTGTGGTAACTATAGCATGTAGCACACGTGCTGCAATCTTTAGGGGAGACCTACGTTCAGCTGTAGACTCTTGATAGTCTGTAATGCGTGTATTAAACGTGTTTAAGAACCTAAAACTTTAGGTACTTAAACACGCCGTTTTAAAACAACTAAATATACTGTGGTGTAACATTTAATAACGTTATGCAAACCGCTAAGACCATAATTCTGCAGTTTACATTCACCGGGCGAACGGAAAACAACAATGCTTTCAAGATTAAGTAAATATATTTATGAGAAGCTAAAATAATAATAAAAAATAATATATTGTTATGTTTCGTAAAAAATAATATATTATATACCCAACGGATTAGTAAACTGAAGTGGCAATAGGCCGGCCATATAGCTCGAAGAACCGACAACCGATGGGAAAAAAAGGTTCTCGAGTGGCAGCCTCGTACCGGCAGGCGAAGTGTAGGGCATCCCTCCACTAGTTGGAGTGACGACCTGGTAAGATATGCAGGAAGTCGATGGATGCAGGTGGCTCAGGACCGTGCTTTGTGGCATTCCTTGGGGGAGGCCCATGTTCAGCAGTGGACTTGTGAAGGGCTGTAATGATAATGATGATGATGATATGTTTCGTATGGTGAGTAAAAAGAACTGGGTATCCAGTTCTTTATTATTGGTATCGAGACATTCAATCTCAGTATTCAGTGGTGGCGAACTTCTGCGCTTTAATTTGATGATACAGGTGTCTTAAGGCCAAAACATCGCTTTACCATCAAAAGAAATGTGTGCCCATTTGTCAACAATACTTTTATAAAAACAATAACAATGATATTGAATAGAAAACAAATTATACTTTTACATTAATCTGCATACCTCTTTAGGTTTCTCATCTGTTACTGTCTCTACGTCATTATACTTTGTACCTAGGATTCCTTAGAAAGTTTACAAAATCCAAAAGATATCAGTAGTAACATAAATCAACAGTAGTGATAATGTTTTGACTTAATACCGTAGCAATGAGTGCAACATGATCCGTTCTTTAGATCATCACACTCTCATTTTATTCACAGATTAATTATTTAACATTTCTTTTGCCTCTCCTGATAGCAAGCACATAGATAATACTCAGATAATACAATCAGTGTGCTAGTTATATCCTGAAAAAAAAAAACACACGATCTCTCTAGATGTCTAGAGCACCGATGCAATATCTCGGGAAGTCTGCAGTATGTTAACATGTTCATGATCGTCCCAACCATTATATCAGATTTGATAGACCACAAATCTTCGCAAAAGATCTCCAATTCCTACAAAGGATGATTTGTGAGGCTATTGAAGCCATCTAGAGTATTTTTAACACTCTAGATGGCTGGGTGCTACCGTCTGCTTGAGATCCCATAAGTAATAAAATTAAATCCAAACTCAAGCATACTACTGCAAGACTTCAATATACTGTGAGTTCGTTATGCGTAGATTGGACCATGATTAATAATTAAAAGTGGAATGTAGCCTTCGGTAACTATGACACGAGACACATCAAACACCGCCGTAACTATGGGTGGTGTAAAGTATCCAAAACGTCGGGAATTAACAAAAGTTAATATTAAACGCGATAAAATCAGTAAACTTAGTTTTATTCTAGAGCTATTAGGATTTTTGTACACTTATTAACACTTACATTATTGTAGTACCTTCCTATTGAAAATAAATTGCATAAGAAGACGTAATTTACATCGTAGTTTGCCTTACTTGCATATTCACAACTTTTTCTGCCACCAGGGCAGCGCCATAAGAAAGTGAGGTATAATATTTGACAGATTTCATAGCATCATCATCGTAAAAGTTATTGTCTCTTTCTGCTTTTTTGTTTTATTAATTTTATATTACTAAAATTAAAAATAAATAAACCAAACCACAGATATTCGTTAAAGTAGAAAAATTAAAATAAATAATTAATAATGTGCAAAAAATTAAAGAGCAAACCACTGACGGATTGTTTTGTGTATTAATATAATACTCTAGAAACTGTTAAACTTTTATTAAAAAACCAACTTCTCAATTAAATTACACTGCGTAACAAAAAACTTTACCTCAGTGTCAACTAGCGACATCTGGTGAGCAGAAAATTATCAGGCCTCATTGTATAGTGGTGGCATAAGAGAATCCTCTACCCGATATCATACCGTGGGTATCGTATGAGGTGATATAGGGAAATGACACAGGAAATGGACAGCAGTATCTTCTTAATAACAACTGAAAATAATAAAAAATGCGGTCGTCAACCCGCTTGTCAATCGTGCCAACTATACTTATGAGTCAATCCATATTCCGTACGGGAACGCATAACCGTAAGAAGCCAACAATAGAAAATACCAAAAATATCTCATAGCTTTTGAAAGATGCTTATCGATGTATTAATATTAATTTCAATCTGTCTACAATTTATACAGAACCCACAGGATCCATGCCGAGTCAAGAAACGTTCTCTTATCTCCGAATCCATTAAAACTTTTACATTGTCGGTAATTATAACTCAATGTTGTCACAGGCAACGTCTCGGGCGGCCGTGGAATTCAAATTCGTTCATTAAATATGCGAAGTTAATCTGTATTCTGCGATGTTGGAACAGCATGACCGATCCTTAGAATGTTCTTTTCCTACATTTTATATCTGTAGTTAATAGGTAAAAGGATGATTCAGTTTAAGACGACGTCTCTAACATCGTAGATATTTTTTTTTTTTATAAGAGAGGGGGCAAACGAGCATGCGGCTCACCTGATGGTAAGTGACTACCGCCGCCCATGAACAACCGCAACACCAGGGGAATTGCAGATGCGTTGCCGGCCTTTTAAAAAGAAAGAAAGATAAACTAGATGCTGATAATCGTGGTGGTAATTTAAAAGTATAGCTAACTTTTAATAAAATTACATAAAACATAAACATAAACACTCACGCCTGTCATCCAAAGGGGTAGGCAGAGACTACGGACTTCCGTTTGGCACGATCCTGACACACCTCTCTCGCGTCCTTTACATCCATATATCTACGCATACACGCTCGTCGGTCAAGGGTACTCTTGATCTGACTCAAATTCAATATATCGTCAATTTGGTCGTTAACTTTAGTCTAGCTTGTGTAAGAAGTTTTATTATAAGGAGTGTTAAAAAATAATTTCATTTTACTTAAATAACTGAGTGCAATTATAATAATGTCCTCCAGACCGTACTTCGATCATGGCGACTAGTCTTCACGCAGACTAGCCATTTGCGCGGGACAGGATTATAGCGCCCGAGTGTATGCGCAAGCACAGGTGCACTCTCTGTACCCTCACATTCATAGTTCGATGGGACAGTAATCCAATACTAAGAGAGAAAGGTCAGGTGCAAGACCAACGGATTTACGTGCTTTCCGAGGCACAGGGGCGAACTTCTTGACTCAAGGCTGCTATATATGTTTCTTAACCGAGAACCCAAAAAACTGATTTCCCGATCCAGGATTCTCACCCGGGACATCATGATCAGCAACCGCTTTTACAACTACTAGACCAATGAAGTTAAAGTAAGAAGATATTATTAGAGAACTATTCTAATATTAGATTTATTTTTAAATTTTAGTAATTTACTAACTGTTCCCCGCGTATAATTTAGGGTTTTAATTATATTACTCAGAACACTAATTCTTTTTCTCAAATATAAGTAGCCTAAGTTACTCCTTAGAACATCAGCTATCAGCTAGTGAAAGTCCCGTCGAAATTGGTCCAGCCGTTTCGGAGATTATCCGGAACAAACAGACAGACCGACAGATAGACAGAGAAAAAATTTTAAAATTATGTTTAGTTATAAGTACCGTATATACATTCATACGCATTTAGTAAAAAGCTGTTATTTTAATATTACAAACAGGCACCTCAATTTTATTTATTTGTATAGATTATTTATTAAATATTAAAATTAGTGAATTATTCTAATAATAATTATAATTAATTGTAAAACGTTTATTTGTCTAGGTTTCAATCCAAAGGAGCTACGCAATACAAAGACTGGCGTGTTCATCGGGGCGTGCTTTTCCGAATCGGAAAAAACATGGTTCTATGAGAAAATGCAAGTCAACGGTTTTGGTGTAACTGGGTAAGTAATACATTCGACATTGATTTTTTTCCAACAAGAAAAAATATAAAAATGTCAGCTTAATGCTGCTGTGTTTCGTATGGTGAGTGTAGAGAACCGGAAACTCCTTTTACTGCAAACGAGGCTTTCCATCTTAGTCCTCAGGATTAATAACTCATCTGCATTTTAATTAATAACAAATCTACTGAATAATATTAAATAATTTAGTTGTTGTGAAAATTACGATAAATTTTACAAAAAAAAATTAAAAATTTTATACGTGGTAGAACCATGCTGCAGCTATATTTATAGTATAGTTGTAGCACGAATGGGCCGGCTCGACAGGAGAAGGACTACGTTCTTACAGAATACCAGCATTAAACAGCAGCTCGATTTCAAGGCATTCCATTTTAATCCTCAGGGGTGACGAGCAGACGAACCTCATCTTCATTTTGATTCTTAAACTAGGACAGATGTAGATGTCTATGGGCCACAGCATCCACTTACCTGGTGGGCTGTGAGTTAGCTTATCATGCTTTTATTATAAAAAAAAATATACTTACACAGCACTCTACAACCATATCCTTGCAAATATAGATTTAAAAAATATATAAAACTTACTAGAACATACATGTGACGTTAGCTTATTATGTGTACATTAATATAATAATTATTTGTCTGTTTGGGGCCACAATTGATTATTATAATATTACGAGGACATGCAAATCGGAGGCCAACGCAAGGCGGAGATCAATCACAAGTTCATTTGCATACTTTACGTATATTAAGGTGACACTAGTCGACATTATTTCCATAGAAATTTCGGAGGGGTTTTACTCCGCTGTTTGACAGTGTACATCCAAAATTAAACATGATATCGTTTTGTCTCATTATTAAATTTGTCTGTACGGAAACAGAATAGTAAAATAAAATGTTATTAAAAAGTTACGAGCTACCAAAGATTCGTTTTTATTGCCAATTTTAACACAACTTTGGGCGTAAATTAGTAATAAAAGAAGTGTAAAATTTCCAAAACAAAGTCGGTACCGACACAGGTAAATTATCGAAGAACTCAATAAATTTTATTTGTAATTGATTAATGCAGTGGTTTTTTCATAAAACCCCTTCTTCCAAAGGCCTTTTCGTATTTTTTTACGCGCGCATGTTACTATGAATTATCGTGCATCTCACTGAATAATGTCTCCCCCGGTGCGGTGCGGGAGGACGATGCTTACACACACATGCACAGGCGGTGACGCGCGCTTATAAGTATTCGAGTTTTATTCGAAACGAAAAGTTTTGCTATTTTGTAATTTGGACGCCAAAGACAAAAGACGGTGTGGAAATTGATATAATTGAAAGAGATGATGCGTTTTGGACGACAGACAATATTTTAAAATTTTCGTCTGTAATATAATATAATTATAAAAGTAAAAAAAGTAAAGTCTATATTCGATTACTATATAAAATTGCAACAATTTCATTGGTGCCGACGGGGATCGAACCCGGGTTGCTCGCATAATGTGATACTTACAGCGAGCGCTAACCATCTGAGATACCACGGCTCTCAATGCAAGTGTTATAAATAAATAAAGAATTACAAAACAGTTTAATTATTTATTAGACGACTTTTGCGGCGGATAAACAAAGTATATTATGTGGGATTTTCATAGGTACCTACTGTTATTACCTAGATACCTACAATCAACAATACAACAAAATGTCACAAAACCTCGCCGCGTCGTGGCCACAAAATTGTAAACTTTAGGTAGGTACGTCGGTACTAAGAAAACAATCTTGATGGGTCACTTGTCTTGATAAAAACCTGTGTTTACGTTTAGTGATATTGAGTATATATAAAAAAATAAGAAGCCAGGTAAGTAAGTATTTTTGAAAACAATTTATAGGTAGGCAGACCAATTACGATTATTATCTAAATATTATAAATGCGAAAGTTTGGATATTTGGATGGACGGATGAATGGATGTATGTTACTCAATCACGCCAGAACGGCTGAAGGGATCTGGATGATATTTTGCTCAGAGATAGGCTATAGTCCGGAATTTTTTTTTTTCAAAAAAACGTTACCCCACACTAGGATTTTCTCCTGTATCGTGGAGGCAGTTTACAAACATCCAGACCCGGAACAATTATTTGTAGACCATACAAATACTTGTTCGATTGATTCGAACCCGCGGCTCCCAGTACAACAATTCATTGCTAAGCCACTGCGCCACGGAGCTGCCAAATATCATATATGATACCGTTTATTCAGGTATTTCGTTGCCGTGGGATAATTATCGAGTTACACACGTTCGAAGCCGAACTCTTGAGTGATTGCTGCATGACCACTCGGGGAAAACTAAACATAATAAAATAAGCAATCTATATTAGGTATATAGAGCCACAGACGTATACCTAATAATTTCGTGGATTCACCCGCGTCATCACGTGTCCGAGATGCGTGGCATGACATGACACCTAGTTCAGGCATTTTATAATTGCAATCAAATATTTTATTTGATTGTAATGTATGGAAAAATTGTCATGATTAATGGAGTACTTTTATTTTATCTGTCGGCATATTATGCGCGGTTTTTTCCAGTTTTAAAGAAAAACGTACACGATTCATGAAAAGTGTGTAGGCAAGAAATGATTCTTGATAAATTTGCTATCAACCTCTTATACTTATTAATTAATTAAATTTAAACTTTCAAAATACCATAGCAACGTGAAATGAAAGAGTTCAGAAATAAAGATGTAACTAATCATTGCTACGCTCACCCGGGAGATAGATAAAAGTACTCAATTAATTTTGAATTTATTTTAGCTACTAGCTGTACCCCGCGACTTCGTCCGCGTTTAGTTTAGGGCGTTAATATTGTTGCAAAGACACCTAATAATTTTTCTAAAATTTAAGCAGGCTAAGTTACTTCTTATAACATGAGCTATCTACTAGTGAAAGTCCCGCCCAAGTCGGTCCAGCCGTTTTGGAAATTAACCGCAACAAACAGACTGACAGACATACAAAAATGTTAAAAATTGTGTTAATGTTATAAGTACCGTATACAGTTTCATACGCAATTAGTAAAAAGCTGTTATTTTGACATTATAACAGACACTTCAATTTTATTTATTTGTGTATATATAGATAACGATTGAACTAACGGCTAACCTAACCTCGCTCATAGAAGCTTTCAATACTGGCTTCTCAGTTCGCACCGGGCTAGGGGTTATGCGTTGTTTGCGCGTCAAGCCAAGTAGGTATTGAATTATTTTAATTTTGCATTATCTCTTAAACTATGTACTATATAAACATGGTATAAAGAACGAAGTTTATCTTCATAAAATTGTCTTGATAATGAAGTAACTTTAGTTCGTAAGGTGCCTAATAAATAAATTTTCATTTTTTTTGTCACAAAATGCCTAATTGTGGCTTATATATAAGAAATAGACATATGGTATCGCGGACTTTTTTTAGACGGAGTAAAGATCTATATTTTTCTAGAACATTGTATTTACGTATCCCGAACCATAACAGCGCTTTTTCTTCTGACTTCCTATATATAGCCTAATGCTGTATAGCCTATACTATTCAACATGAATCTGGCTATAATATCCAAAAAAAGATTTTTCAAATCGGACTGGTTCCAGAGTTCCAGAGATTAGCACGTTTAAACAAACAAAAACCCTCTTCTGCTTTATTATATTAGTATAGATGTTGCATCGTGTTCGTGTAACTTCGTTTTTATTCTAACGGTTCGGAACACCGTACGAACAAGACATGCGTGAATACTAGTGTCGATATGCTCATCACTGATACTATCTCTGTCGGACACGATGCCAGGTGAGACAGCGTGCTTTTTGGCCGCGCCCACCAGCGAGTTCGAGCCCGCGACTTGTGCCACCTTAAGGCGCAAATTTATCCCATGGGCTAAAATGGATTTCGTGTGACCTTCTAAAGTAATCATGTGGTCATGTGAAGCAAGTTAATTACTATAGGAAGTCGAATCTTGTTATAATACAAATGTTTTTAATATATGGAACTTGTGATAAAGCCAATAGTTGTATTATAGTTTTTATTTATTCATTTAAACTTTATTGAACCTTACTAAAGGATCAATAGGCGGTCTTAATCATGGAGCAAATACAAAGAGGAGGTGTTATAATTAGAGATCACTATGTAACAACGCGTGACAATTTGCGGGATGAGGGGATGTTAAGCCCCACCCACGTAGCTATTTTCCATCTACCGAAAAATAGTAAAACTACTTGCATCGTTCCATATCGATGTTGCAATGTAGTTTAGTTACCTTGAAGATAGATGGCGACCTGTTCTCAAATTGATTATAAAAATAATAAAAATAATATTTTGGCGATTAAAAATTCTTTAGGACTGAATGCAAAACAAATTTCATCTACGTACCTTTATATTTTTAGTTCCCATGATACAAAATGTCGCCATCTAGTGTCGAATATATTGAATTATATTTGAAAGGCGACGTAGAGATTTTTCTAGAACTATTAAAATAAATTAGGTATAAAACTTTTAACAACCGACTTCAATATAAATAATTTAAAATTGTAAATATTGCACAAACTATTTCAATATAAATTATTAAAAATAACTCAAAAACTATTAATCAGATGAAGAGAACCAATAAAAAAAAGTATCATCGAAATCGGTTCACCCAGTAAAAAGTTATGAGGTAACACACATAAAAAAACATACAGTCGAATTAAGTACCTCCTCATGTTTGAAGTCGATAGAATAAAATGAGAACATCATTAATGTAAAAATTAAAAAAGGAAAGTTACAGCCTATATACGTCCCACTGCTGGGCACAGGCCTCCTCTCATTTCTTAGGAGTGTTTTAGGACAAGAAAACGTCCGACGGACTGCCCCAATGCTTGTTGGCAAACTTCACATGTAATCGAAATATTTTTCTTCTTATTTCTCATACGTTTTCCTTCACCGTTGAACACGTTGTAAATCAGCACTTAAAATTGCAATTAACAATTTCATTGGTGCCAGCGGGGATCGAACCCGGTTTACTCGCGTACTGTGAAATTTACAGCGAGTGCTTAGGCCCTGAACTACCACGGCGATATTAATGTAGTCGAAGTCAATTAAATACGTATTATTAATGAGAACTCAAAAACAGGCGGTCAAACCTTGATCAAGTTTATATGGGATCACATGAGAAACACCAGCTTTCTAATGAAAAAGGAATAATCAAAATCGGTTTAGTTAGAAAAAATATATTTAATAAAAAAACAGTCGTATTAAAAACCTTCTACTTTTTTTGAAGTTGGTCGAAAATTATGGTTAACAATTAAAAACGCTATAAAATTTGTAAACATTTATTTAACTTTATACATTTTTTGCCCTCAGATGTTCCCGAGCCATGTTGGCTAACCGCATATCATACTGGCTGGGCGTCACCGGTCCATCGTACACCGTCGATTCAGCTTGCTCGAGTTCTCTTTACGCTTTAGAACACGCTTTCAGAGCCATCCGCGATGGGCATTGCGATGCTGCTATAGTCGGAGGATCCAATTTGTGCTTACATCCATACGTCTCCCTGCAATTCTCAAGGTAAGATATAGTTTACTACTATGCCGTCTTTCATCATTATCACCATTATTATCATCGAAATTACAATCCCTCACAAGTCCGTGTAGTACGCGGTAGAGCCATCCTGCAGCTATATTAATAGTAGCGCGAATAGGTCGTCTCGACCGGGAAAGGATCACGCTCTCACAGAATACTAGCGTAAAATGGCAGCTTGACACTGCTGTTTTGTATGGTGAGTGTAGAGAACCGGAGACTCATTTTACTGGAAAAGAGGCATTCCATCTAAGTGTGAGGAGGTGACGACGCATATGCATTTTGATTCTTTATTGAGGATAAATGTAGATGTCTATGAGTCACAGCAAACACTTACCATCATGTGGACTGTGTGCTCGTTTGTCATCCTATGCTATAAAACTCCACTACTAAACAAAGGCTTTCATCGAAATCTTGCATGTCTAACTAGCGCGATTGTGTAACTCTGGTGAGAACCTTTCGACGGAATGAGTGGCGCGCCGCCACGGCGTATAAAAATCCACCATTCTATATTATTCCATGTAAGAAGAAGAAGAAGAAACTACAACAGTCAATGTCCAGCGGTATCTTCCTGATAACAACAAAAAATAATAAAAAAACTGTGGTCACCAACCAGCCTACCAAGCGTTGCAACTATGACAGATATCCCCCTATAAGTAAATCTGTAAAGAGGGCTATATTCAGTAGTCGAGTTTGATAAGCTATAATGATGATGATGATGATGATGATGATGATGATGATAGAAATATATAATATTTCAATTGTGTATATCGCATTTGAAAGACGATACTTAGACTAAAAATTATTTCGATGACATGTAGAGTCCGGTAATTCGCATTAGGGTAGCGAGGTGTATATTGCCTGTCCTAAAACCCTCTCAGAAACGAGTGACCTATGCCCAGTGGTGGGATTCATATAGGCTGTATCTTTACTTTACTTATATTTTGCTTGTCAGGCGGAAAGTGCTCTGAGGAATTCTTGGGACTAATTCTATCCGCCAAATTTCACGAACGCACATCGTGTCAAAATTTACAATACCATCCTTATCATCTGGATGTTTGGCGGTCCACCACTGTTGGTTTTACTACGAGTTATCTTCCTCGTATAATTTCTCTGCGAAATTGTTTACCACCGGAGATTTTTCCGGACCGATACTACTTAGGGGCCTTCAAGAAAAGAGCTTACTCCTTTCTAAAAGGCCGGCAACGCGCTTGCAATTCCCCTGGTGTTGCGGTTGTTCATGGTTGGCGGTAGTCCCTTACCATCATGTGAGCCACATGCTCCTTTGACCCCTCTTCTATAAAAAAAAGAAATATTTTCTCAAGATATTCCTTTACCGACGAAAATAACAAAAAGCAAATATGAATATGGCGATGAATGTAAATTACTTTTGTCCATGTGTTGAATCAAACCTAGGCCAGGTTATTTATAATCTGGGATTTCTTTTACAGATTGGGAGTACTATCAGCAGACGGCAGATGTAAGAGTTTTGACAACCGTGCTAATGGCTACGCTCGCTCCGAAGCGATTGTCGTTTGCTTCTTGCAAAAGGCAAAAGATTCAAGAAGGTAAATACTATCTTTCGCACATCATAGGGATATAAAGCTTTTTGGTTAGGAGTTCCTTTCTGCAGGTAGCAAATTATTACTTATGTCTGTCCTCCTGTGTCCAACGAAAGAAGTGCTAGCATAATAACAAGGTTAAATGAAACTATTTTTTACGGATTTTATCGCGTGGTCACGGGTCACGTCGTCATGGGGGGATTGGTCCCCCGTGACCATGGGTGCTGTAAAGTACCCGAAACGTCAGGAATTAAGAAGTTAAATTAAACGCGGTAAAATCCGTAAAAATTAGTTTCATTTAATATGTAGTCTTCGCGTAAATATAAGAAATCAATAACAAGGTTGTTATGCAAGTTTATTTGGTTGTAGACGTCCATGGGATGCAGTTACAAATTACTATCAAGTTCACTGTTAACTCGTTTGTTGTCCAAAAATTATAAAAAACCATTTAATACATTATTCCACTATAAATCTATATTCATATCGTTCGCACGCTCATCTTGACCAATGTCAGCTTGTGAACAGTTCATTGTAAAACGGAGGCCTCATTGTCCCAGTTTTAGTACAAGTAAGTATAAAAAAATCGCCGTATAATGGAGTTAAGTATGTTGGAGTATTCACTACCCCACATCACCACATGGGTGTCGTAAGAGGGAAACTTAAACAGTAGATGGGCAGCATCAACTTTCAGTTGTTGTCAGGAAAACTGCGGCTACTGCGGTACTATTTATCAGGCGATCAAAAATCTTAAGATTTAGGTAAATAACACCAATTGTCTAGAATCTACTGAGGCAGTTTTTTCGATTGCTTCACTACTTTCCCACGTGATGTTAAGTGGTGATTTAGCCGCAGTTGGTAAAACGCACTGATTAGTTTGATAAAAGTCAGAGGTTAAGGAAATTGGTACAAAGCACTATCTGAAAGTCAAAAAACTACGCCATCGCAAGTTCTTTCTGCGGTTACCAACCTACCTGCCAGCCTGAGTAGCAACTATAGTGAAATCCCTATGAGGCAATCTATGGGGGAGGCCTTTATTAAACAGTGGACTTTTGACAGACAGTAATTAATAAAAAAATTATTAACAGGGTATACGCGCAACTTCTCCACGCCAAAACCAACTGTGATGGATATAAGGAGCAAGGTATCACATACCCGGCTGGTCAAATCCAGAAGCTTCTGCTTACCGAATTCTACGAAGAATGTTCCATACCGCCGTCAACGCTGGAATACGTCGAGGCTCATGGCACTGGTTTGTAAATTGTAAAATAATATATACCTAACACTATAATTAAATAATAACTGTAAACATTTAGAAGGAACTTTTTTGTGCCTTGAAGTTTCTCTAGCTTATCTAATTTGCCGCCTACCAGCAATACCTGCTATGCTGTGTCGCGTTCTGGAGGGTATATATAGCATGATTACAGGCACAGGCTTAGTCCTTGGAGGTGACTACGCAGCTGTAGACTATGAGGTGGACTGTAAGCAGGTTTGTCATTTTGTTTTTTGTTTTTTTTTAATATGACGCTGTATGACTTTCTCTCACTCAGACTAAGATCTTATTGTAAGATCTCGGTGGAGAATGTTCGTTTATGATATATATATCATAAACGCACTCTCTTGTGTCCTGAGTAGCGGCCGCCCCGTTGTTACGGTGTAAGAAAATTAATCAACACATTTAGTCCCGTGGGTTTCGTAAGACTTCGTATCGAGTATCGTTAGAAAAAAGGCGGGTTTTGGAAATCATTTCTACAAAACTGATCTGATAAAGCAAACTTACACTTTACCTGAAGGTAAGTGGCTACTGCAGCCCATGGATGCTTGCATCCACCTTCAAACAATGAAGGGTAAATGTAGGTGACATGATAAAGATAGAATGCTTCACAGTGTGTCTTTAATTACACTGGTTCGCTATACCCTTCAGTATGGAACAAAGAAGTGCGAGCACTGCTATTTGTCGAATGAAAATACCGAAAAGATTTCATAGCTTACGATTTAGGTGGTGAATCCATCACGTTTACGCCAGACGTAAAATATCCTGATCGGTTAATCCATCTGCCAAGTCATCATCATCATCATCATCATCATCATTACAGCCCTTAATAAGTCCACTGCTGAACATAGGCCTCCCCCAAGGAATGCCACAAAGCAAGGTCCTGAGCCACTTGCATCCATCGACTTCCTGTTTGTCTTACCAGGTCATCACTGCATCTAGTGAAGGGACACCCTGCACTTCGTACGCCGGTACGAGGCCGCCACTCGAGAACATTTTTTCCCATCGGTTCTCATCTGTCAAGTATGGCCATTAAATCAAACCCTCTCTACAACGCTAGATGCCGATATCCAACAGTGGACTTCTACAGTCCAATGAAAGAGTAGAGGAGAGGGGGTCTTCTGATGCCACTGCAGCCTTGGCCTAGCTCTTAGTGATAATAAGAGTGATATTTGTGCTTATGGTTATTGATCATTCGCAGCTGCGGGATGTACAAACATACAAGTAACAGACTTGTATGTTTGTACGTACACAGAATACCAGCGTGAAATAGCAGCTTAACGCTGCTGCTGTGTATGGTGAGTGTAGAGAACAGGAGACCCTTTCACTTGCAACTTGCAACGAGGCATTCCTGTTAGTCCTCAGGGGTGACAATGCATCTACATTTTGAATCCTAATCGAGGATGTACATGTTATGTATATCCAAATGTAGACGTTGTTGGGCCAAAGCATCCACTTACTGTACCATCAGTTGGACTGTGTGCTCGTTGGTCAACCTTATTCTATAAAAAAACCTTTACTTTAATTACACTGTCACTTTACTTAAATTACACTTAATTTTAAAAATACAGGTACTAAAGTCGGTGACCCGGAAGAATTGTTAGCTATCGATGAAGTTTTCTGTACGGGTCGCTCAGAGCCCCTCATGATTGGATCTATCAAGTCGAACTTGGGACACAGCGAACCTGCATCGGGTCTTTGTTCCATCGCCAAAGTGAGTAAACGGAACATTAATTTAATATCTGCCAGATTATATACCTCGTTATTTAGCATACAGTTGATAAACAAATATAAGTATCTGTTTATTATATGTCAGATTTATATATCTCGTTATTTAGCATACAATTATTAAAGTTATGTTTTTGATATTTGTCTTGTATCTGTATGTCACAGTGATATTCGATACAATTTGATAATTTATTTTATAATTTATTATTTCGACATCAAGTAAGGTTAACTGGATTTTTCTTTTAACCTTTTTTATTTCGGACCACCCTTGAAGTATTTACTTTTAAATAAAAAAAGGAACATTAAAATAGATTTACAATTTATGAAGATCACATACCTATAAAAAAGCATACAGTAGAATTAAGGAACTCTTTCTTTTAAATCGGCTGACAAATATTTCTTACATTTTTCAATATCCGTTGTTTCTTAGTATACAGTTTTTTCAATAACTTCTCGTAATTCTCTAAAAATGGTCCGTACAGATACGGATCGTAATATTTCTCAACTATAAATTATTGTTGTTCTTTAAAAGAACATATAGCTGACTTGCACCGACGTTCTGGGAAGTCTGTAGTTTGTGAACACATTCAAGATCTTCCCCGCCATTATACTAGATTTGGTAGACCTCCTCGCAAAAAAAACACCGATCCCAAGAATGATTCTCGAGGCTATTGAATTTAAAAAACATCCTAATTTCAATAGAGAAGATGGATGGGTGCTGCCATCTGCCTGGGATCCTATAAATAATAAAATTAAATCCCAACCCAAGCATACCACTGCAAGACTTCAAAATACTGTAAGCTCATTCTGCGTAGATCGGACCAAAAATGAATATTCAAAAACTGAAGGTAGCCGAGATAACTATGATTCCGGATGCCAAACATGTCAGTCTCCCCCCGTGACCATGGGTGCTGTAAAGCACCCGGAACCTCCGGAATTAAAAAATTAAATTAAACGCGATAGAATCCGTAAAAATCAGTTTCATTTAATAAGCACTACTTCTCTTTAAAATTGAATGATTAAACGAATTCTTATGCTTCAATTGATCCGCAATGTATTACTATCTCTTTAAATCGTTCAGGCAGGGCCGCCATTGTCTGTGCGATTTCGCAGTCAACGTGAAAATTATCCATATTTCGTGTATGCAATAAACATTATTGTATACTCGAAATACAGCTGTCAAATTTATTATAGTCTTGACTATAGCACTTTTAAAGCATACGCCAACATCTTAAAATATTTATTACGAGTACTAGCTGATACCCGGCGCAATACTGCCGCAGACCAAATTATTGTGGTAATATCGTTTTAAATTTGTATGAGTTTTATAGTTTAATTAGGAATGATAATACGAGTACATTCATTGAACCTACTTCGCTCAGGTGTAAGCAATAAGTTGACAAAGTTTCAGCGCAACCTGATTCGCAGTTCGCAACAAACACGAACAAAAATATTAATTTTTATATTTATATTAGATTACTGGTTAGAGTACGACCGACGACTTTTGAAGTGGTAAAGCTGACTCCATTTTCCAAGTAAATAAATTGTCATCTGTCAATTGGTAGAGCCTCCATCCTTAATAAATAATATTGTCCTTTCATTCACCACATTTTTTCTTCTAAATTGTAATTATCATTATTATTTAAATAAAAACTCTTTAACTTCTTTTAACTATGTATTACCAAGAGTAATCATGTGTTTTTGTTTCTTCATTTGGTATGACATTGACTACAAGACCTTCTGCCAAAAATACCGTATGTGTTGTATGCAAACACTACAAATAAACGTATCTGTTTTTTTTTTCTTTATTTCAGCAATTTCTTATACACTTTTGTCTTTTCCAGCTTTGCATAGCTTATAGCACCGGCTACATGCCACCAAACCTCAACTATGAAACACCGCGTGAGGGTGTGGCTGCGCTGGCTGAAGGTCGGTTGCAGGTCGTTACAGAGAAACAGCCTTGGAACCGTGGCATGACTGGAGTCAACAGTTTCGGCTTTGGTGGTGCTAACGCTCACGTTTTGTTGAAAAATGTCGCTCGAGATAAGGTAATATTTTTAAGTTCAATATTATTTAGATGGCTAGATGTGGCCGTAATTAAGAATTTGGTTGCGGCTGTTTGGTCATAGCGGCAATTTGCGCAGAGCAAGACAATAGTGTCCAAGCACTCCACCTGCACCTATGCACACGAGTAGGTAGCGGTGCGTAGTTATCCGACACGACCAAAAAGCCCCGAATTTAGAACCTAATATACGGAAATTATTTAATTCTTTTTAATTTTAGAGAACCTTCTTTTTTCAAAAGTGTAAAACGCGATATTTACTTTTAGGTTAATAATGGAATACCATCCGACGATCTGCCACGTCTAGTGTGTGTGTCGGGCCGGACTGAATCTGCCGTGGCTAAGATTCTCGATTACTTGGAGTCGAGGACAGTTGACGTGGAACTTATTCGCTTATTACATGCCATACATAATGAAGATATTAGCGGCCATGTTGTCCGCGGATATACATTGTTGGGTAAGTACAAATTTTTTTGAATTTCCTTTAAATTAAAAAAGAATCAAAAAGCCCAATGATTTCTTATATTTACGAGAACACAACATATTGAAAAAAAAAACAATTTTTATAGAATAGGGGTTACAAACGAGTACACAGTCCACCTGATGGTAAGTGTGTAAGTGGCGGCACGAAAGTCTAGCGGTGACTGTTATTGCGCATAAGTCGCGCTGATTGGCTTAGCTCTCCAGTCGCATTCGTGCAATTCAGTTCGTGCGCGTCCCCTCCACGTTTCGTTCAACGCTAGATGTGACCATAGACTAATATATAATACTGGAGAGATGTGACGCGACTTGTAGCTGTATCGTATTGTAGTCACGAATATCAATTTTTGAGTGTTTTTCGAGTGTATGTATGTCTATTTCTTCGGCACGCTCTTGTAGACTAAACGGTTTAATGGATTTTAACATATGAGGAGTCGCTAGATTAATCTAAATTGCGGCAATAACATAGAGTATAAAGTTTTTCTGTTTTCAGTAAATTATTTTACTAATGAAGTCGCGTTTTTATTTTAAATTAGGTAGTGGCCTAAACTTTAAAATTGTTTTATTTTTGTGTGTTATAATTAGTACTTTATATTGTTAGGATCAGAACCAGAAAAGAGTGTAATCCTGTCGCGTGATATTCAGTACTTCTCCGGCGTTCGTCGCCCAGTGTGGTTCGTGTATTCAGGCATGGGTTCACAGTGGGCCGGAATGGGTACTCAGCTCATGAGAATACCCGTGTTTGCTGCAGCTATACAAAAGTAAGTTTATACACAAGGAAAATGCTGAACCTGGGCCTCTTCTATAGATTTACACGACCTAAGCCACCTGCATCCATCTACTCCCTGCATGTATAATCAGACCATTCTCCATCTAGAAAGTCGCTCTACACTAAATCCTTTCTTCCCCCTTGTTTTCGTTTCTCATCGGCCAATTCATTTATTACTCTTGTGATTTTGTGGATATCTTCCTTACGGGTTGTATCACTTGTTCTTATAATTTTTATCGAACTTCCTACGCAAGTTCGTCGCACGAAAACACTAGATAAGTTTAAGACTGACGTCAGAAATTACTTTCTATCACTGCAATAACCACTTGACATTAGTGAAATGTTTGTATTTTTGTTGTACTTATTACAGTTAAAGTTACAGCCTATATATGTCCCACTGCTGAGCACTGGCCTCCTCTCATATCTGAGATGGTTTAGGGCAAGAAAGTGTCCGCCGCGCTGCCCCAATGCATGTTGGCGAACATCACGTCTTCGAAATATATATATTTATTATTATATTTATAAATTATATATCTTATTTTCCAGACATGCAAGTTTATTTATTTCTGTTATTTTTATGTATATTATTTAATTTTATGTATGTCTATAATATTTTTTTGTATATTTTAGTGTAATAAAGTTTTGTTATTATAATATTATATATCGGTTTACTTTATTTAGGAGTTAGTATGTAAGTTTTCTATAATATACGAGTACACCACCTCTCACTGTCCTATAGTTCAATTTTCTCTTAAGGTCGTCTGGAAGAGATCGCTTTTTAGAGATAAGACCGCCTTTTTGTACCTGAGTTTTACTTCCTGAAATCTTTTTTATCGTTTTGTCGTGTACAATAAAGTATATATAATTTTTTTTCAGATGCCATAAAGTCTTAGAACCAAAAGGAATCAATCTAACAAAAATCATTACGGATCCCGATCCAAAGATATACGACAATATCCTAAACTCCTTCATCGGCATTGCTGCGATCCAGATTGGTCTTACAGATGTCCTGAAAACCGTTGGAATCGAACCTGACTACATTATAGGTAAGTTACTTCAATAGACGAATGAAACAGAAAATAATCATTTGTATTAAACACTATCTGGTACGTGGCGCATTGCTGCCAAAGAAGTAATAATTGTGGAAAAATCATTTTAATTTTGGAAGAGTTATATTGTTTAATTACGAATGATAATGATGATGATATATAAGTTTTAAATAAATTTGTCGATACGATACGTGTTCCACCGAATATAAGTTAATTGTACTACGCCTGTAACCTTCGCGCAAGTGCAAGCAATAAGTTCACAAACTTTTAACAAACATTAATTTTTACTTATTAGAATATATATTAGATAAATTACGAGAATAAGCGTGAACGAACATCATGACATTAAGATTTACCGCTGTCGTGTTTTTTTTCTTCTTTGTATACAGTAATTTGATTGAGTATCTTTTAAGTAAATACTTTTTCATAAGAATTCTGCCACAGGTCATAGTGTTGGTGAGCTGGGCTGCGCGTACGCTGACGGATGTTTCACGGCCGAAGAGATGATCTTATCAGCTTACGGCCGTGGTTTGGCCTCAATAGAAACACCCTTTATCAAAGGCTCAATGGCTGCAGTCGGCTTAGGCTATAATCAGGTAAATAGTTTTAAAAATAAATTGCTTTACAGTGGCGGCTTAAGTGAAGCCACTATCCCATTTTATCATTCAGCGTGGCTTCTATGATAAATATCCCCTATGATGCAATCTATAGGGGAGGCTTATGTTCAGTAGTGGACTTTTGATAGGCTACTTTTTTATAGGATTAATTTTAACTTCTTAAAAATGTAGGCAGGGGCTCCCCAGTGCCAGCTCCTTCCACTTGACCGCATCCAACGCAGAGCGGCTCGAATTGTCGACGACCGAGCCCTTTCCGATCGGCTCGATTCATTGGCACTGCGAAGAGATGTTGCATCCCTTTGCATTTTCTTTCGCATCTACCATGGGGAGTGCTCTGAGGAATTGTTCGGATTAATCCCAGCCGCCAAATTTCACGAACGCACATCGCGGCAGAACTCCCGATACCATCCACACCATCTGGATGATTGGCGGTCCACCACTGTGCGATTTAGAAGATGTTTTCTTCCTCGCACGACCTCCTTGTGGAATCGATTACCATCAGCGATTTTTCCGGACCGATACGACTTAGGGACCTTCAAGAAAAGAGCGTACTCCTTTTTAAAAGGCCGGCAACGCATCTGCGATTCCCCTGTTGTTGCAGTTGTTCATGGGCGGCGGTAGTCACTTACCATCAGGTGAGCCGCATGCTCGTTTGCCCCCTCTCCTATATAAAAAAAAAATGTACTTCATTAATATAAGAGACTTATTGTTCATACAAGTAATTTTAATTACAAGTGAAAACAAATGAATAGTGATCGTGACCGCGATTGCAGATCGTTAGATCCCGGGTTCCAATCCCGGGTCAGGCCAAAATCAGTTAACTGGCTTTCATGTCAAGAAATTCTCAGTAGTAACCCAGATTCAAGCAGTTGGCGGTGTTTTACCCCCTTGCCTGTTGGTCCTGCGCCTGATCCTCTCCGATTGTGTCGGATTACTGTCTCATCAGACTATGATAGTGAGGGTGCAACTGTGTTTGCCCATATACTCGGGCACTATAATCCTGCGCAGAAGGCTTGTCTTCGTTAAGACTAGCCACCATGAGCGAAATTCGGCTTAGAAGACATTATTAATTGCACGCCTCATAACGCGAAGCGTAATACGTGTGTTCCACTCTCGACACGTCAAGGTCAAACAATTTTGTGTCCTTGAAATGCTTCTATCGTAACCATATTGCACCTATACGATAATATGAGTAGCCGTATATCAAGAAAACAAGAAAACACTGTAATTAATCCGTCTTATATTTTCTAAAAAATTATTTTATACATTGAAAAAAAAAACGGTTTGAAAAAAAAATTACGTGGACGCCCGGATGTTGATTTTGTATGTGGTCAAGATAACTCCCGAAAAAATTGACGGATCGAGACCGGGTTTCTTTATTAGCTTCAGAATTACATCAACTGGTTCCCTATTTCATATCAATAGCCTAGTACGCGTAGTTTGTTAATAAAATGATTACAATACTTTTTAATCTTTTAAAATTTAAAGGCGCTATCATATAATTTTTTAGCATTTGATAGACAAAGGACAAATTTACCATACAGCCTATATCGATTTTATACTTTGTGTGATTGATCTATTTTAGTAAACACTTTTTTCCCTGTAGGTGACACTCAATCTTTTAAGGCGTTTCCCTGACTAAATAGCCTTGAGCATGCAGTGCATTGCCGCTCGCACTCCGCGTACGCCCATTTATCATAGAATTCACATAATTTTTGGAATTAATTTATATTAAAAAAGAAAAGCGAACTTTAAAAATTAAATAAAACGTGAATATTCTCAACTCATTAGAGCGTTGCCTTTAGCAACAGATGCATGTAATCAATAATTTTAGTCATTTTTTAAAAGTAGATTTTAAATGTATGTATAATACATAAAAACAAATTAGAACGTGGAATGTGATGAAAGGATATCGAACATTAATAATGTGCTTTTAGATGTAGTTTATTTCTCATAAGTAATGAGATAATAGTCTCTGAATAACGAAGAAAAACGCACTATCGCAAGGTTTTGGTCGGGGTAGAGACTTAAAATAATGAGTGCTAAATTTAAAACACGTAAATAATATATTTTGAAAGTCAGGAATACAATTTATTTTTTGCGCTCGCGAAACGCTCGCGATGCTTGCACTTTTGGATTTTCCAAACTATTTTTATTTTATTACACATCGCAAACTAAATTTTATCAACTCATGATAATTCTTCATCATCAACATCTGAGCCCAACAAGTCTACTACTGACTATAGGCCTCCCCCAAGAAACTCTCTCATGCATAGTCGACTTAATTATAATACTATTTGTTTTTTGTGAACAGGTCAAAACAATGTGCCCACCAGAAATCGAAGTGGCTTGCCACAATGGTCCCGAATCAAGTACGATATCTGGACCGGCTGATATCATGAAGCAGTTCGTCGCTACATTGGTAGGCCAAGGAGTATTTGCTAAGGAAGTGCCTTGCTCAAATATCGCATATCACTCAAGATATATTTCGAAAGCAGGTGAGTTAAACTTTAGATTCATTTTGCTTATAACTTTATTCTTTATTTAAATTTAGTTACCCTTAATTTAAGCTATAAGTGATAGAGCCACGCTACAGCTATGTATTAGTCTTAGCACGAGTGAGTTAGTTCGACCGGTTAGGACCAGACTCTCACAAAATACCAGCATAAAATACCAGCTTAACAATGCTGTGTTTCGTATGGTGAGTGTAGAAAATCAGAGAAACTCTTCATTAAAAATGAGGAATTTCATCGTATTACTTGAGGGTTAATACGCATTTTAATTCTTAATTGAAATTTATGTTTTGAGAATAAGATGGACTGTGTGCTGATATACATATTTTCAACAGGCCCAAAGTTACTCAAGTATCTCAGAGAAGTCATCACTGATCCAAAACCTCGATCTGAACGCTGGGTATCAACGTCAGTCCCCCAAGCACTATGGAAAAACGCTAAAGCTGAGCTTTCGTCTGCTGAATACCACACAAACAATTTATTGGTAAGTTTATCAGCTATTAATACATTATTCTCGGTTTGACGGCGCCGTGGCGCAGTAGTTTAACAATGAGTTACAGCGCTGAGGGATGCGGGTTCAAATCCCGCACGAAACAAGTATTTCTGTGGCCTACAAGAAATTTTACCGGATGTGGATATGTTGTCTTTTTGCAATTTATGTTTGTAAACTACCTCCACGTTACAGGATAAAATCTTTTAATAAAATTTGAAGAGTATAGAGCGCCAGTATACTTTCAAGATGTGAGGCACTACATCTTAGTTCTCAGGGATAACAACGCATATGTATTGCTTTTTGTACTTAAAATCAGTTGCAGGTGTACATATTTTTACGTGGTAGAGCCAAGCTGCAGCTATATTAGTAGTATAGTTGTAGCACGAATGAGTCGGCTCGACCGGAGAAGGACCACGCTCTCACAGAATACCAGCGTTATATAGCAGCTTAACACTGCTGTGTTTCGTATGGTGAGTGTAGAGAACCGGAGACCCCGTTTACTGGAAAAGAGGCATTCCATCTAAGTCCTCACGGGCGACAACGCATCTGTATTTTGAGTCACAAACGAGGATAGATATAGATGTCTATGGGCCACAGCAACCACTTACCATCAGGTGGACTGTGTGCTCGTCAGTTGTCGTCGTTTGTCACCCTATCCTATAAAAAAACATAGGCTGCAGCCTACATTCCACTTACCTTCAAGTGGAATGTGAATTCATTTGTGACTTCAATTGCTAAAAAAAACAACGAATGACGGACCCACGTCTTTTTAATTTTTTCCTTTATTAATTCCAAAAATTTCTACTATCCATTTTTTTAATTTTAGTTACGAACTTCCTAGTATTTCCAGTAATATTAACGATATTTAATTAAAAGATATACATTAAAAACAATACAATATCTGTGATACTAAAAAAAAAGAAATATCTAAAAATCAAGTATTTTAAACTTGACAGAGTCCAGTGCTGTTCGAAGAAACATCGCGTCTCATCCATCCTAATGCGATTACAATAGAAATAGCACCGCACGGTTTGCTGCAGGCTATTCTACGTCGTTCTCTTAAAAAAGACGTTGTCAATATCGCACTGACTCAGAGGAAACAGGAGGACAGTGTACAATTTCTCTTCAATGCGTTAGGAAAGTAAGTACAATAAATATTTCAGTATTTCTGTTCCTGTTTTATTTGCAAGCGGATTCATCTGTCCGTTGTAACAAAATATTATAATATTTTAATAAGCATTTTATCCGTTTCTTGTATCAATTAAAAAAAAAGCGGTCAAGTGCGAGTCGGACTCGCCCATGAAGGGTTCCGTAGCAGCAAGTAACATAAAATAAAAGGTCTTGTAGTTTGTGGTAATTTTGGTCGATGTTTTAATAATAGTGTATTTTTTTTGAGTTGATTGAATGAAAGGTAAATTGCGGTTTACGATTTATGATGTATTAAAAAAACTACTTACTAGATCTCGTTGAAACCAATTTTCGGTGGAAGTTTACATAGTAATGTATATCATATGTTTTTTTTTAGTTTCATCATTCTCTTATTTTAGAAGTTACAGGGGGAGGACACACATTTTACCACATTGGAAGTGTCTCTCGCGCAAATATCTCTCTCTCTTATATCAAAGTTTAGAAACAAATGATATAAGAAACATCAATATCATTTTTGAAGGTCTATCCATAGATACCCTACGTATGGTTTTGATGAATTTTTTTTTAGTTTCAGTTCTAAGTATGCGGAACCCCCAAAATTTATCGTCTATTTTTCTGTGAAAATCTTAATGCGGTTCACAGAATACATCTACATACTAAGTCAACAGCATAGTTCTTATAGTTTCGAAAAAAAGTGGCTGTGACATACGGACGGACGGACAGACAGACATGACGAATCCATAAGGATTCCGTTTTTTGCCATTTGGCTACGGAACCCTAAAAATAATATTAGTTGAGTTTGAGTGAAACTAACGCAATTATTTCTTCTAGACTGTACGAAGCTGGAGTGAATCCTCAGCTGGCCAACATCTACCCACACGTACCGTTCCCCGTGTCTCAAGGAACCCCAATGCTGGCCCATCTAGTCGAATGGGAGCACAGCGAAGACTGGTAAGTGATTGGGTACTTTCGGGCACTGTTCACAAATACAAGCAGCGTTGCAAGCTCTCTCACTTCTTTTTATTCGTTGTTTTTTTGATACGCAACAGTGACAAATAGCCGGGGCCCTGTCAAAAAAAAATTAATTAGAACCTCAAAACAATAGTTATTGTTTATTTATTTATTTATCCTTTATTGCAACACACCAACTAGGGGTTACAAAGGGCGGACTTAATGCCCTATGGCATTCTCTACCAGTCAACCCGACGAAAAATGGAATAAATAAAGATGTTGGCAGGTGCAAGTTAAGGACAATAATAAAACATAAGTTACAAATGAAAACAGTTCAGCTATAATAAATAGAATACACAATACAAAAACTACCTAATTGCATTATATAAATACAGTATACATAACCAACACACATATGTAAATATATATACATACACATACACACAACACACACATATATACATAAATAAATATAAATATATAAATTATAAATACACATATAATATATTAATATATATAATATATTATATATATAAAACGGGGAAGGCAATTAATTGTTGTTTACCTCTAAATAATGTTGTCGCACCAATCTTTTAAACAAAAGCTTATTCGTAACTTTCTTGACATCAGCGGGTAAAGCGTTCCAGAGGAGAATAGCCTGAACTGTGAAGGAAGAATTAAAAAATTTTGTTCTATGTTCTGGAATGCTAACTTTAAGTACGTTAGAAGGACGAGGTTCACGGCCGGAAATAGAGTAGAGAAAATTGAAGTTTTCTGTAAGATATGGCGGGGAATTAGCATCATTTAAGATGGAAAAAAGTGTCAGTAAAATTCTGGAGCAACGCCTTTGACGTATAGTGAGCCACTTAAGCTTAGAACGATAGGCAGAGATATGGTCGTATTTACGTAAATTAAAAATAAATCTTATACAATTATTGAGAAGGCGCTCCAACTTGTTGAGAAGATTTTGCGATAGATCCGGATAGCACACATCAGCATAATCAATAATAGGAAGAATGAGGGAATTTACCAACATAAGCTTAGTTTTGAAGGGCAAGAAATTTTTCAGACGATACAGGGAACGCAAGGCAACAACAACTTTACGGCTTATTTCAGAGATTTGCAAACTCCAGTTCATAGTTTGATCTATATGCAAGCCAAGATTAACTATTGATTCATTGAAAGGGATCGATATACTATTGTAAACCACAGGTTCAAGGTTTCTATAGTCAATCCTAGCCAGCATCCTTGAACTGCCTACAATCATTGCTTTGCATTTCAACGGATTTACCGAGATACCATGCCTGTACGACCAAACTCGGATAGCATCAAGATCATCGTTCATCAGTCTTATGACGTTATTGATGTCGTCGATACTAGATTGTACGTATAGTTGAAGATCATCTGCATACAAATGGTGCGAACACTTGATAACAGAAGATATGGAATTAATGAATAAAGAAAACATTATAGGAGAAAGTATGCCGCCTTGCGGCACACCAGATTCGATGTCAGCCCAGCCAGAGAACTGTTCTCCAAGGCGGACGGACTGTTGGCGGCCGCGAAGATAGGATGAGATCCACTCCAAAGCTGAGGATGAAAATCTAAGATGAGTCAGGATAGAGAGGAGGATGTCGTGATCAACTGTGTTGAAAGCATTTGAAAAGTCAACAAGCACCAGCACTGTCACTTTCTGTTCATCCATACCTCTTCTTATGTCATCAGTGACCTTAATTAGTGCAGTGGTGGTACTGTGACCAGACCGAAACCCTGATTGAAAAACATTCAATAGGTTATGTTCTTTTATGAAACAAGAGATTTGCTTATACACACAGGCTTCAAGAACTTTGGACAGGAATGGGAGAACAGAAATTGGTCGATAGTGAGAGGGTAGTGTAGGATTAGGAATTTTGGGAAGAGGTCGAACATAAGCTTGTTTCCACAAAGTTGGGTACTGACCTGAGTCCAAGGAGTAATTTACAATATGTGTTATTGCTGGGAGAAGAAACTCGAGTAACATATTCACCATAGTCTTGCTTATGTCATCACAACCCAGAGCCTTGGAATTAATAGCTGATAACGCCTTAGCAACATCATCTTGGGTCAAAGGAGAGAATTCAAAAAAGGGAATGGAGAGTGATTCCATAGAAACGATAGAATGTATCGTTTGGGATTTAATACTAGGATCAATAGGAACAATGACAGAAAAATGACGATTAATGTCATCTAAATTAAGCGAAGGACATAGCTCTGCAAACGGAGGCTTGGTAATACCTAGGGATCCAAGGAATTTCCACATACCTGCGGTCGAATTATTAAGGATATTATCGTGAATGTAGCGGCGTTTAGCGTTTCGCACCATCTGATTACATCTGTTTCTGCAAGCCTTAAAACTAGTCCAATTTTCCATAGTGCGTTGCTTCTTAAACTTCTGAAAAGCTCGGTTTCGTCTAGCTATTGCCAGCTTTACGCCTCTGGTCATCCAAGGTGCAGGAGGACGCTTTACTCTTATTTGGTGTACAGGAGCATGAACATTATATAAATTGAGAACAATACTATTAAGGATTGAGATTTTATCATCTATTGTACATGCTAAGCCAAGAGGTTCTAAATCAACACGGGAAGCGTCGCTCTTAAGTTGATCAATGTTCAATTTGGAAAAGTTGCGCAAATGCAAAATAGAGGGTTTATGTTTTGGAGGTTTCAATCTATAAGAAAGGTAAATTAAGTCATGACGTGAAAAACACGGAGCAGAAAGTTGTCCATGCTTAACCACACGGTCGGGAGAAGAGGTAATAATAAGGTCAATCCATGAATCATCACTGTCGATGTTGTGGTGGGTTTCCTTTAATGGAAGAATGCAGAAATTGACTGATTCCAAGATTGACCGAAGTTTTTGGACGCGAGAGTTATTTAATAATAAATTGGTGTTGAAGTCACCCATTATTATGTGGTGTGCATATTCGGACCCAATCTTGTCAAGAGCAGTTTCGAGATCAAGGAAATAATCTACAGCCGGCGGACAGTACACTACCCCTAGTATCGCCTTAACGCCCCTGATGTCAATTTCAAGAAATAAGAACTCTGCAGAGGCAGAATAGGGGAATGGAGAATATAGAACAATCTTATAAGGTATTGTTGCTCGTAGATATATTGCAACACCTCCACCTCCCCTTCCTATCCTGTCGTTACGAATAAGCACGAAATCTCTGAGTGGATACAGGCTAGACAATAATGATGGCTTTAGCCAGCTTTCCGAAACTAATATAGCATGAATTAAATCAAGTGAGAATGATTGTTCAAATTCAGAAAAATGACCCGGAATGCTCTGGGCGTTTATGTGGCAGACGTTAAGGAATTTACCACAAGACAAAAAAATATTATTTAAATCATCACGAAGTGATGGCAAATTATCAACAGACGTATCACAACAAGAGGTAAACGAAGTTTCTGATTCTTGAGCAGAATAAAATGATTCATCGCCAGACATTACAAAATTATTAAGTAAAGTATATATAATAAATTACCTAAATAATATAATTAAATACAACTTAAAATAAAAAATCTATAAAACAAATTGTAAAGCCAAATAAAATACTAATAATTAATTTGCAAGTATTATTATTATTTCACCTTACATTATCCCATCAGTCACGAGTTGACGGTTTACAATAGGGTAAAGAAAAACAGAAAAAGAAATATACTTATCAGGTTAAAACGAATAAAGAAGGCAAAATTAACAGCTAAACACAATTCAAATGAATTGGGCACAATCCAAAAATATGTAACTTATGACAAAATAATTTACATAACACTAAGCGTTTATACCAACTCACAATACCGTTATATACATCTAGGGCTTATAAAACTAAACTTAAGAAACACAACAAAAAGGAATATTTAAAATAAAGTTTAACAAAAATATTAAAAGAAGGATATTTTGGTTCGAGTACATAATTATAAAAGTGACCGAAATTTAACAAATGAACTACCTTAACAATGGCAAAAGTACTAGTGGTACGAACTACCGAAATTAATAAAATAATTATAAAGAATAAACTATGTAGCCAATATAGGCTGTATGGTCTGAGGTCTTTGTCTGCTTATGACGATTTGTAACAACGAAAATCAACTATCAAACCAATAACTTGCTACAGTAGTACTACATATTTTGTCAATGACCAATGATCAATGCCTATGACACCTAAATATATTGAGATTAATTAGGTACCTACCCAAATATCTAATTGACGTTAATAATCTAATAAGCCAGTACCCTAAGCCTGAACTACATGTATATAAAGAGAGAGAACAAAAAAAAATTGTGCTTGATAAATTAAAACGTCGAGAATATATTACAAACAAATCAACAATGCTTGTTTATCCATGATATCTCCATGGAGTGTATATAACAGGTACACAAGACGACAGCATCAACTTATCAATTAGCTAAATGTAACTACCACTGAATTTATATATAATATCAGCACAGTATATTTATGGGATAAAAGTATACCACCACCGTAATTTACTTCTTGTAGATAACTCGCCTTGTTCTCTTGCTCTCGTTACTTGATACTGCAGTGACTCCCTGCACTGAACCACTTTCTGTTGGGGGCTGGTTTTTGATGTACTCAGCTGAGAAACAGTCATATTTTTCACAACATTGTTTTCATTACTTTTAGGAGAAGAATCGGCCGCCGAAGGGATACTAGTCGGAGACCACTTTTTCAAAAGACTATTAAATTCTATTTCCGTGAAAACCTTGGCACGGCTATTATCAGGCAATTTAATATAAATGGTACCATCAAAAGTCCAAACGTTTTTAACACCAAAGTGTTTACGTGCATTTTTATAAATATTTTGACGGATCTTCGTGAGAAACTCTGTAATCGTGAAGGGAGTGCCTTTTAATTTGGCCTTGGACTTCCAGATTTCAGATTTGACACTATGCTCATTGAATTGCACAAGAACAGGCCTAACTCCAGCTTCACTACCCTGAGATCCCAGACGATGACACCGCTTAAATGAAGTGCTACTTACATTAGAAAGTCCCATCTTGTTTTTAATCAAAGAAAGTACCTCATTCTCAATGTTAGATTCTGGGGTTTCAGCTATGCCATTAAACAACAATATTTCACGCCGCTGCCGCATATCCATTTCATCAATAGAATCTGTGCATCTTTGGACTTGATGTTGCAGTAGGCTAAGCATTTTTTTCACAAGCTCCTTAAAGTTGTAAAATTCTTGACTAAGTTGCAATAACGTCGGGCTGGACGGAACCAATGCAGCTTGCAAACGATCCTCAAAATCAGCCATCCTTTGCGTCCAGCTTACTTCTAGCTCTTTATGCAAGTTGTGTACATTAGCGACATTTTCCATTTTGAACTGTATTATGTACCAAAATTAGTAATAACAAGTAAATTATAGGTTAAGCAGAACTGATGGGTAATGCAGGCAACTAATTACGGAATACTTCACATGGATGTAACTATAATATTATAATAATTTATGTTCAAAAAGTTATAAGTAAAAATATCACTTTGTCTTCCTCTAAATTAATTTTAAATAAATATAATTAAAGAGAGATCAAAGACAGCTACTACCTATTTTACACCTACCCACCAAAAAAAAAAAAAAATTAAAAAAAAAAAGAAAGTTTATGTTTGTTTTTAAAGTAAACTTCCCCTAGATATCATTCCTAGGATCGTTAAATTTAACATAAAGTACCTAAATGTGTGTGTAAAAATATATAATAAACTACCTTTAGGTAGTTTATTATATATTTTGTAATGTAAATTATGCAAAAGACTGTATTTTTAAGAAACACTTCTTTAATTAGTTAAAAACTCAAAGCCTTGTGACTTAAGATATTTTTTTACAATAATTAATTAATTAATATTGTCATACGAGTATGAACAGTTTAAAATCATAATTGTAACAATAAATGTAGAATGGCTCTACCACGTATTTGATTACGTGGTAGAGCCATTCTAAAGCTATATTAATAGTATAGTTGTAGCACGAATGAGTCGGCTCAACAGGGGAAGAACCGCGCTCTCACAAAATACCAGTGTAAAATAGCAGCTTAGATGCTGCTGTGTTTCGTATTGTGAGTGTAGAGAACCGGAGACCCTTTTTGCTGGAAATGAGGCATTCCATCTTAGTCCTAACGGGTGACAACGCATCTGCATTTTGATTTGTTATAGAGGATATATGTAGATGTCTATGGGGCATAGCAACCACTTACCATCAGGTGGACTGTGTGCTCGTTTGTCACCCTTATCCTACAAAAAAAACCTTCTTCTACCGTGACTCTTGCAAATAATGATTTATGATTTATGAGATTAGAACTGACTAGTATGATCGATCATGGCGGTTCAATACTTCTATTATATTTCAACGTAACACATAAGTTCTTTGCCTTTTGTTCAATAAAGAAATTTTATTGCATCTTTAAACTTCTTAAATTATATGCAAATACGATTAAACGTCCAGATTTTCATTTGTGAATTCAATCGAACCACTATTTTCATCACCCAAGAGCTCCTGCCGTATCCAAAATCAGAATTTTGGGCAAACATATGGTCCTTTGAACCGGATTTGAACCAGCGACCTATGGATATACAGTCTACATAGCACATTCTACCGTAAATCGAAACGCAATATTGTCTGTGACTATGACTACCGTTTTTCTTGTTGTTATTCTTGTTGTATTGTGTATAGTTGACTCTGGGCCACTAGTTGCCACGCTGTGCATTGCGATTATTCACCCTGCCTTAGGTTGAGCTAACTGCTCACAATTCTCAGTAACTTTGATAATAAAAAAAACTTTCATGTTATTTTCCGTGAGAAAGGGTAATAGGGTAAAAGGGCTTTTCACAATGTCTCATTAACAACAAAAGAATAAGTCCTTTATTATTAAGACTTAGTTTAGATTTCAACACTAAATACATCTAAAAAAAGAAACATTTTAGAACCACTCTGCAGCTGTATGATGGTTATAGCACTTATAAATGAGTACGTTGTCCACCGGATGATAAGTGGATGCTGTGGCCCAAAATAAGCTTCGATTAAGAATCAAGATGTAGTTGTCACCCCTGAGAACTAAGATAGAATGCCTCGTGTCCAGTGAAAAGGGTATACGAAACACGGCAGCATTACGCTGTTATGTTACGCTAATATTCTGGCAGGGTGTGGTACTTCTCCGATCGAGCCGATTCATTTGTACTATAAGCAACCATAATATAGATGCAGCGTGGCGTCATATCACGTAAAAATCAATCAATTGTCATTTTATAATTTATAAAAATTAAATGCTACGAAATTAACTTCAAAAAACATTTTTGCAAATAAAAACTGTAAACTTTTTAATGTGAATTATCTTCTACCATAGGTTCGTAACATCGTACAAGGCCCAAGAGAAAATGAAATCCGGAGAAAGAACTGTCAGAATGTCCATCGCTGATGAGGACAGTGAATACATGGCTGGTCACGTTGTCGATGGTGAGTTATTTTATTTTATTAATATTATATACAGCTATATGGGCCGATCATATAGCTCAAAGAACCGACAAACGACGAAGAAGAAAGTTTCGAGTACCAGCCTAGTACCACAGTAGATGCCCACTAGATGGAGTGTTGGCCTGGTAAGGGATGCAGGAAGTCGATGGGTGCAGGCGGCTCAGGGCCGTACTTAGTAGCATTCCTTTGAGAATGCCGATGTTCAGCGGTGGAATTGTGAAGAGCTTTATGATGATAATGATATTGATAAGTCATCTTCTTTCCTACGAAAAAGTTTTTATGTTTGTCCGTGTATAGTTGTTATTATTTTACCTATATTTTTGTATGTATTTAAAACGCCTCAAAGATACAGGATAGGTACCCCAAGTGTGTAAAAATCTTAAAAAAAATATATCTTTGTTTACAAACGTTTCAATGTGAACGGTGTAATGTATTTTCGGATAAGGTAAAGATTTATTTTAATTTCAGGGCGCAACTTATATCCTGCCACTGGATACCTAGTGCTCGTGTGGGAAACGTTAGGTATGATGATGGGCGAACTGTACACGGAAGTCTCCGTCGTTTTCGAAAATGTCCGGTTCCAAAGGGCCACTAACATACCCAAGGAGGGAAATTTGGAATTTATTGTAATGATACAGAAGGGAAGCGGAAACTTTGAGGTAAGTTCAACTCCATATAAAATAATACATTTCTAACTATAATTTGATATATCTCTAGAGGTACAAGCGCATGCATTAGTTTAATAAGATGTTATCATCTTGTGCATGTAAGAGCAGAATATAGGGAATCCCAAAAAGATTTCATTATTATAGCCATCCAGTTAACACAAAATGAAAATTACATAAAATACCCAGAATCGTATCTGGGGGCAACTTCAAAGTCTTACCAAGCATAAATAGCAGAGACCCGCGTCCAGCAGTGGAATTTTATATGTTAATGAAGAAGAAGAAGGAACATTGAAGCAAATTCGAAGACACACTCGTGTACAAAAACGAATATTTTATATTTATAGGTTACTAGCTGGTACCTGGCGCGTTACAGCCGCAGAAAAAAAAATTATGGAAGTATCGTTTTAAATTTGGAAGAGTTATATTGTTTAATTCGAATGATAATACATACTCGTACATATACTTTTTTTTCTTTCACATAAATTTGTCGGTACTATAAGCGTGCCACCTACTCTAAGTTAATTCTACTATACCTATAACCTTCGAGCAAGTGAAAGCAATACCTTGACAAACTTTTACCGTAATCTGATGAACGGTATGGGAGTGCATAAAAATACGAACAAACAAAAATATTTTTTATATATTCATCAGTTAGTGTAATCTACATTAACTGATACCACTTTTAATAATCACGTAAATTCTGACTAAACCGCCTATGTGAGGTCCTCCCAAAAATTAGGGATATTCGATATACATCGATGCATCGAATTCACTCGATGTTTACAATACGATGCATCGAATCGATCCGATGTTTTGGAAAGTTATTGATATACTCGATGTATCGATGTATTTTCATAAAACATCGAATCAATGATAACCAGTCAATTGTAAAAAGGTATACTTGTCTATCACTATTAATATTATAACTTCTAAATCAGAAAAACTAAAACATGCTCTGATTTAGAATTTATAATATTATACCTGTTGGTGGCGCTAGTTGGCAGCTGTCAGTCCCTTAGTGGAATCAAGAAATTGAGATTGGCGTATTGTGTGTTAAAGAGAATTTAAAGAAAATCGTCTGGCCTGTCTCGGTCTTAAGGCGGCTACTCACTTGCGTGCCGCAGGGGCAATCTAGGATGAACAGCGATCGGTGAAATATCAGAAGTTTTTCTACACACATGCCTGCTGTTCAGTGTCAGAGTATACGTCTTGCTGGACACACGCGTTGAGAATAGCGCCAGTTTTATCAAAATATTAATGAATCGGTATATATAGCCTTGGCTCTTTTTTATATACAATAAAGGTGACAAATGAGCACAGTCCACCTGATGTTAAATGGATACTGTAACCCATAGACACCCATATTTATGGATAAAACAACTAATTAATTAATAATTACAACCATAACGTAGTCCTTAAAAGCTGCAGCATGGCTTGGCATTAGTAGTATAGTTGTAGCACAAATGGGTCAGCTCGACAGAGGAAGGACCACGCTCTCACAGAATACCAGCGTAAAATAATAGCACCTTAACACTGCTGTTTTTCGTATGGTGAGTGTAGAGAACCAAAGAGCCGTTTTACTGGAAAAGAGGCATTCCATCTTAGTCCTCACGGGCGAAAACGCATCTGCATTTTGATTATTTATCGAGGATAGATGTAGATGTCTATGAGTCACAACAAACACTTATCGTCAGGTGGACTGTGCGCTCGCTTGTCACCCTATCCTGTAAAAAAAACACATCACAATTAAGGAGGCCATTAAGGGTCATCCCCATTCCTACACCCTAGATTGCTCATTTAACCAAATGGACTCACCTCACATGCTTATTCCCCTCTGCCAAGGTATTAAATTTAAAAGCTTGTGCGTTTATAAAAGCTGTTTACAAGAAACCGATTTTATCATTACAAGAATCGTTTCCGCCGAAGTAGGTGTACTTTGAAAAATGCCGATCGGTGCGGTTAACGTATGCATAAAGCAGTCAAAATACTTAAAATTTACAAAAAGATGGAGTTATATTCCATATGTAAGTATTTTTGCCGTGTAGTGGCGGTTAAGAATATCCACTACCCCATATCTTCCCGTGGGTGTCGTAAAAGGCGACAAAGGGATACAGGCAGGAGATGGGCAGCAGCATCTTCCTGGTAACGGCAAAAATACAATAAAAAACTGCGGTTGCCAACCCGCTCGCCAAGCGTGGCAACTATGGCAATATAACCCCAATGATGAGAGTTACGAAGAGACGGCCCCCAGTCCCAGGCGGCCCCGCTATTCCTGGCTACGGTGGCGACCATGGTAACGGCGGGGCAGGGGGTGCTAAGAATCTCCGGTGGAGGTTCGGTTGCCACCTACAACGACTCGACCTGGCAACATACAACGCACGCACCCTGAGGACTGACGAGAAGATTGTGGAGCTGGAAGAAGAGATAGACAAGTTACGCTGGCATATTATAGGATTATCCGAAGTCCGAAGAGAGGGGGAGGACACGGTAATCCGGTAACTTGCTCTATTACCGGGAGGGTGACCATCTGTCCCAAGGAGGTATCGGATTTATGGTCCACAAGTCTCTCGTTAACAACGTTGTAAAGATTGAGAGTGTGTCGACGAGGGTTACGCACCTTATACTCAGAATCACCAAACGGTATTCACTGAAGGTCATACAGGTTTACGCACCAACTTCGGCACACCCCAATCAGGAGGTGGAGGAAATGTATGAGGATATCTCTAGAGCCATGCATTCCTCCAAAACCCAATATACCGTGTTAATGAGAGACTTCAATGCAAAACTAGGCACAAGAGAGAACGGTGAGCTGAAAGTGGGGAAATTTGAAATAGGGCAACGGAACCCAAGGGGCCAGCAGCTGGCCGACTTCATGGAGAAAGAGGGACTCTTTATGATGAACTCTTTCTTCCAGAAGCGGCCCCACAGGAAGTGGACCTGGTCGAGCCCCGACGATTCGACAAAAAATGACAATGACTTCATTATGACGACCAGACGACAACTGTTCAGTGATGTCTCAGTGATCGCGAGGGTGAAAACCGGCAGCGATCACCGAATGGTTAGAGACACACTGAACCTAAAAATTAAGTTGGAGAGGTCTCGTCTAATGAAGTCAACGCTCCGTCCCCCTCGTACTCTAATCCAAAGTCCCGAAACCTTTCAGCTCGAGTTACTAAACCGTTTTCAGTGCCTAGACGACTGCAATGAAGTGGACGATATGAATGACAAGCTCGTGGAAACTGTCCATGTGGTCGGAGCTAAGTTCTGCAAGACCCGTCGCAGAAGAACATAAAAACTCTCCGATCACACTCTCAATCTCATGGCTGTTAGACGGGAGATGAAGCTACATTCTTCAACAGATTTGACAGCATACAGGCAACTGAACAGACAGATCTCCAAATGCATGCGGCGGGACTTACGCAACTTCAATACAGCTCGTATTGAAGAAGCGATCGAGCGGAACCAAGGCTCCAAAGTCTTTGCCAGAGATCTGTCTGCCAGAAAGAGCCAACTGTCAAAGCTGAAGACCGAATGTGGCAGCATCGTTTCCGGGGCACCTGGGATTTTGAGTGAGATTGAGAGGTTCTATGGGCAGCTGTACACGTCATCGTTGGAGCCGCACGCAAGTGTGAGTAACGATCCAAGAGCGAGTCTTATCCGACATTATTCCGATGTTATCCCGGACGTCAGTCTGAGCGAGATTAGAATGGCTCTCCAGCACCTTAAAAACGGCAAGGCCCCAGACGAGGATGGAATTACAGCGGAGCTTCTGAAAGCGGGTGGAAAACCGGTACTTGAAGTCCTTCAGAAGCTCTTTAATTCCGTCCTCCATGGTGGCATTACACCGGAGGCGTGGAGCAGAAGTGCGGTGGTCTTGTTCTTCAAGAAAGGCGACAACCCTCTCTTGAAGAACTACAGACCGATTTCTCTTCTGAGCCGCGTCTACGTGCTGTTTTCGAGAGTTATTACGAATCGTCTCGCGCGCAGACTTGACGACTTCCAGCCTCCCGAACAAGCCGGTTTCCGAAAAGGCTTTAGCACCATAGACCACATACATACCCTTCGGCAAATTGTACAGAAGTCCGAGGAGTACAATTTGCCACTATGTCTGGCGTATGTGGACTATGAGAAAGCCTTTGATTCCGTCGAAATTTGGGCGGTGCTGCAGTCCCTTCAGCGATGCCAAGTTGACTGTCGGTATATCGAAGTATTGAAGTGCTTGTACAGTAGGGCTACGATGGCTATCCGAGTACAGAACCAGAGTACGAAACCTATCCAATTGCAGAGAGGTATAAGACAGGGTGACGTCATATCCCCGAAACTCTTTACCGCTGCATTGGAAGATGTTTTCAAGATTCTGGACTGGAAAGGATACGGTATCAACATCAATGGTGAGTACATCACTCACCATCGATTTGCCGACGATATAGTCCTTATGGTAGAATCGCTGGAGGACCTAAGCACTATGCTCAATGACCTCAATAGTGTTTTGCAACGGATAGGTCTTACGATGAACATGGACAAAACAAAGATCATGTTCAATGTCCATGTCACACCTATGCCGATAGTTGTTGGGAACACTAAGCTCGAAGTTGTTGACGAGTATATTTACCTGGGACAAATAGTCCGACTAGGTAAGTCCAACTTCGACCGAGAGGTCAATCGACGGATTCAACTCGGTTGGGCAGCGTTCGGGAAATTACGGCACATCTTCTCGTCAGGTATACCTCAAAACTTGAAAACGAGACTGTACACCCAGTGCGTGTTGCCAGTGATGACATACGGAACTGAGACGTGGTCCTTCACTGCTGGCCGGATGAGGAAGCTCAAGGTCGCTCAGCGAGCTATGGAGAGGGCTATGCTCGGAGTTTCTCTGCGTGATAAACTCAGAAATGAGGATATCCGCAGTAGAACCAGAGTGGCCGACATAGTCCAACGGATTAGTAAGCTGAAGTGGCAATGGGCCGGCCATATAGCTCGAAGAACCGACA